AAAAAAATATATAACGGTAAAATATTAAATTATAAAAAATTGTTATTCGACAAAAACCAAAATCTCACTTCAACCAGACAGTATGGGCCTCTCAGGCCCACCATACCAAATGTATGGAAATCCATGTATTTAGAGAAAATTTTGCAAACAAATTCTATTTTTTTTATTGTTTTCTGTCTCCAATGGTTTTATACGAATTCAATAGCTGCACGTAAGTGAAGATCGGACACAGTAGCGCAGCCGTATAGGTGGTGCGTATGTCCCAAAAAAATTCAATGTGTGATGACTGCGCAATTGCGCATACTATGCGGCCGCGACCACAAAGCCAACGGACTCGTGTATTATACATATGAAATAGTAGCAATAAAACGTCCGTTCAGTTTTCTTATTTTCTTTGGTGAACGAATAATTCATTTAGCTGTGTTAGTGGAAGGCTTCTTTTGAGTTCGCAATATAAATTACGAAAGTAACATAAATTATGTTACATACTTTATTGAGTTAAACTTTGTACAAGTACAAAAATTTCTACTTGAACTGTCTGAATCATTGGTTTACGATCAAATTGCTCGCAGATCGACTCGTGGCATGGACATGGAACATCAAGTAGTTTTGAATCAAGTTCGCCAACATTTGAACATTCCAGAAGTCTCTGAAGAACCATCGACAAACTAATCATCTCAAAGACGTCGATGTCATTTATGTCCAGCTTCACTCGGTCGAAAAACGAAAACTTGTTGTGGCAAATGTAACAAAAACGTTTGCGGTGAACATTCAACCATGACGGTTTTGTGTACAAATTGTGGAAAAAAACGCACACACAAAACTGATTCTTTCGATTCCAATTAATTTTTTTACATTTATTCAATACTTTTATTTATGTTTCTATTTATTCATCTCGTTTTTTTTCATTTTCGTCGAATAAAAACAGAAAAAAATCAAAATTGATATTGGTTTTATCATTTTGAAATTATTTCCATACATTTTGTACGGTGGGCCTGAGAGGCCCATACTGTCTGGATCTGTTATTATTATGAACTGTCTGCAGGGTTAATAAACGTATCTATTGTAAATAATTGAATTTGGTACCTTATGAATTTACGAAGAAATTCTTTTCTTTGATCATATGCATGTTCGAGAATGAATGTCAGACACTATTGACATGATGTTTTTTTGTGTGGCGATGGAATATCGTGATATCTCATATTTATTTTCGAACATTAATTTATATATTGTGAAATTTTCCCACTCCTTTCGATTCATTATATTTTTTAAATGGCCGTTAACTTAATACTACATAACTGTAATTGATTTCGCATATTATATTTTTGTTTTTATTCAAACGCAAAATATTATATGATATATTTGCTTTTTTAAGGGAAAATAAGTAAAAATTATTCCAAGAAAAAGGAAATTAAACCTTTTTTTCGCTATTATCATGACTTCTATCTTCTCAATTTTAAATATAAATCGATATTAATGTTTAAAGGAGGACCATCACGTGCGCAATGGGAAGATGTAACTGGATCAACGCCATTGACCTTTGTTAACGATTGTGTTTCATTCACAACTACTGTGTCGGCAAGATTCTGGTTAATGGATTGCAGAAATATTTCCGAAGCTACTAAAATGGCTACTGACCTATATCGGTAAGAAATAATTTTAAAGCATGCATACATCTAAGATATAAAATTTACTTTCCTTACAGTGAAGCCATTCATGTTCCATTTATGGCAAAATTTGTAGTCTTTGCCAAGAGAACGGATCCATTTGAAGCTCGACTTCGAGTGTTCTGTATGACCGATGACAAAGAAGATAAAACTCTTGAATACCAAGAGCATTTTACAGAGGTGGCAAAGAGTCGTGATGTTGAAGTATTCGAGGGTAAACCGCAATACACCGAGTTTGCTGGAAATTTGGTGCCAGTAACAAAGTCAGGCGAACAATTACAAATTCATTTTAAAGCTTTCCGTGAAAATCGCTTGCCTTTTAATGTTCGTGTGAAAGATCAGCATGCTGATACAGTTGGGCGTGCTCTGTTCATGCGAGAACAACGAGTTGCTAAGGGCGAACAACCACAACAACCAATTTGCATCCTAAATATTGTCCTTCCTGAACAAATCTATACTGAGAGTGTCGATGACAATCGTGATTTAAAGTATAGAAACGATCGGAGTAATTTGAACAATATTCGTATTGTTGATATTTCAAATTTATTGGGTCAAGACTGGATACGACTTGCGCATGAACTCGGATTCACTGAACAAGAAATTAATGAAATAATTGCAGATAATCCCACAAGTACACCACGCAAAGCACAATCTATGCTGCAAAATTATATTTCACGCGAAGACAGCAATCGTACGGTCCTCGAGACCAGTTTACGATCCATTAAACGTGATGATATTATAAAGAAATGTTTGAGACTCAGCTTATACTTGGAAAAACCAAAACCATCAGCTTCTGGCACCCGAAAGGGATCTAGTTTTGAAGAGGTGGATAATATGAAGGATTCTGAATCTGTGGAGGAGCTAGCAGTACACGAACGAGAAGAACTTAAATATTCAGCTGAAGAGAAAATCGTCGAAAATTCAGATGGTGAGTCACAAGAGGATGAAATAGTTGAACGTAGTGTTGCTGAACGACGTGAGCAAATCACAAAACGATTGTCCATCGAACGTCCGATTCCGGCGTCAACACAACAAAAAGAAATCGTACAAGAAGTAGCTGAAATTAAAAGACGTAGTTTGATTGAAGACAAAAAGGCACTACATGAAGAAGAAATAATTATGCACGCACCCACTGACAATATTATTATTAAATCAGCTACTATTCCCGAACCAGTGATTAAACTGAAATCTGGTATTAAAGATGACGTTGATGTAACGAAAAGTGATTTTGATAGAGAACTGCATGATAAATTCAAGATAACCATCAAAGATTCAGAAAGTTTCGAGCATAAAGTTACATCAGATTTAGCTGAAACTATTTCGTGTGTCGATGAAAAGATTCAGATTGATACTGTGACTACCGAAAAATTCCACAAAATAGACACATTATTTGATAATATTGAAATAAACGCAGAAGTAACTCCATCAGACAAAGTTGAACCAATCAAAGAATTGTTAGATCACAAACAAATTGAAGATCTTTTAGAACCTGTTATTGCGACAAAAATATTGGAGTCTTCAATATCAACGAAAAACTTTTTGGATAATGAAGTAAAAGCACAGTCAGAACACGTTGTTACTCAACAAGATCCTAAAAAGGCAGAAGTCATTCCGAACACGATCACAACAACTTTGGCGATCGAAACAGCAAGAGATCATTCTCAGCCCATTGAATCAAGTAAAGATGCTGGCACGGTGAACTATACGGTTCAAAAAAAAGCGGAAACCTTTCTTCAAGGAAACAACGATGCCGATGAATTTTATAAAACAATCGAAGAGAAGATAACAAAAAAGATGAGCCAAGATTTCTCTATTTACAAAAATGATGATATCAGAGATGGTAAACATTATAAAAAATGTAACTTATGGGCAATGATGTTGCTAGCTAGCTGTTTATATCAGCTATTGCTATAGGGATATATAAATAGCTGCTATTTAACGCATGTCTTCGCTCGGATGCTGCGTATACTCGACATAACAATGGTGACATTGTTTT